ATAATATTTATAATGCTTTACCAAGTAATATTTCACGTTCCTTTAAAATGTCAGATTGTATACAAATATGTCATTTTCAGTGGTGGTGCATGTCCTTCAATATTTACGAGTAACAAACTTAGTCTGAGTTTGAAYTACTGCGATGGTTGTAAATTGTAATGACAGATGTCAACGACAAATTAGCTGGCCAACGCGAAGAATTTCTAAAACTCATGTTATTGCGATGTGGGAAACTGGGAACATGCAGATTTTATCCCGTGTGACGGTGTGACATAGGTATAATGTGTCTAGATCGAGTTCACATAAATTGTGAATATCGTGCAACTTCGACGAATATTGACTAGGTTCTTGTTTTAAAACATCTTGCAAATGATTATTAAGTCGAAATCGATGATAATTAGATGATCAATAATTGAAACACTTAACTAKTAATCTATAGTAGTAGTATTAATATTCTAATATTTACTATATTTTTATTAATATAATGGTATCTGCTACTACTTGGTAAAAAGTACATGTTTCAATTATTCAAAAAAAAAATGAATTGGTATCTAGAAATATACATTACAAATCAAATAATTTTACTTTAGTAAACCCAAATATTTGACAATCGAAAACAATAATACACATAGGTATAACGTACAAAATCGTTGTGCAGCACACCAAAACTGTGATTTAGCAAAACACTAAATATTTATAACCTAATCGATTCGTTTTGTCGGAGTTACACAATAACAAATTAACATCCCATTATTGTAACCCGATGCTGAGTTGTTTCAGTTTATCGTTTATTGGCTACAAAGACTATTTATTTTAAAAATTATTAAGTTTAACACCTAACACTATAAATTCTAAGCTGATGGCTATGCATCCATAGTGCACATAATTCCAAAGTAAGTGAAACATACACACACACGATGGCCGTCGAGTACGTTGTGAATACAAGTCGTCTATACCATTTCCGGATACAGTTTTCGTTTATGTTATATACTCCTGCACAGTTAGCAAAGTGAACTAGAAATTGTGGTTGTGCATATAGAAGACGTTCTCAAGTTCTGCTAAATATAATCATTTATTGTCTTACCTTCATATTTAATATTTGTATTTTTTAATATATATATATATATATATATTTTAGACTATTTATGTTTATTTGTTGAAAATAATGAATTTAATATACCGATATTCATTGACATTTTTGTAACAGGTTTTCTCATATCTGTGGGCTACGATATCATATACCGTAAACGTATTGGGTTGTAAATGGCATAACATATTATTATATAAGTCATTACTCATTTAAATTAAACAATGTCTAAACGGCCGCTCCTCCAAATTTTGRGTGGGTGGGTATTACAATTGATCATAAATACGCATATACTAGAAGTAATGATGTCCTACTATAATATAAATAAGCAACAAGATARTTTGATTTTTTGTGTATGTGATAAAATATTAGATGGGTCCTAGACTAAAATCTTTGCTCCTTGTGTTAAAATAGCTCGCCTTGCCACTGAATGTCGATACATCACCTTCATTTGTCATTAAGCTTATGTTTATCACTAATAATGCATAACTTTTTATTTTTATTATAATTTTAATTTCTTTAATGGTTTATTTTTTATTCAATCTAAAGTTCACGTTTTGTTATTCAGTAACTCGGAGATTAGACATTTAGACGATAATAATATAGGTAGGTAAATATAAAACATGTAATAAATTTAATCACATCAGGATGTACCTTACAAATAACAATATTTATCGAGTTCCTATTAATTATTATATTATTACGTATTCGATAAGCAAACAGTGGTCAATATTAGTCAAATACACTTACTCGATAAACAATAATAGTATAGTTGAATATCTTGCCAATTATAGTTACCTACTTAAAAATATTTAGACTTTAGTCGAGCCATAAGATGTAAAAGTCGAACGATCCGTAATCATACGTATATTTCCTCTTATATATGATAACCTTTAGATCGGCTCTAAAGAAAGTAGTTTATAGGTTTTCTAATCKATAATATATTATCATAGTAAAAAATAAAATAGGTAAAAGTAAAATTTGTATGACAAGTTTTACTCTTTACAACAAATTAAAATTTCAAAACATTATTAACAGAAAATACAACAAATAAAATGTTAGGTTTACATGAAATTAATAAGTCTTATTTATTAGTTTTTCTTGTTTTCCTTCTTCTTTTCGGGGATTAAAGCCAATATAATCTCCTAAAAATATACAATAATATAATAAACGGCCATTGTTTTTTAATACTAAATAATCTATTGCCTACACTTACTTCTATGTCTTTAACAATTGGTGTCCAACGTTTGAYGATCGGTTTGGTTTTGATTTTAATATCATCTCTCAATTCATTGAAATGTTCCAAAAACGGTTTTTTGATTTCTTCATATAATTTAATAAGATCTTCTTTCAATTCGGCTAATTCTGCTTTTAATTTCTTGACCTTCTCGGCGATTTCTGGATCTCTGGCTTTTAACTCTTCGCTTACACGTTCGATTTGTTGTTGAACGACATC